GCGAAGCCCGGCCCTCTCGGCCCAACATGGATTGTGTACGTTCACAACTTATATAATCCCACTGTCGCCTTTTCCCCGAGCGTGGAGCGACGTGTTGATCCTGAAATGTCAACAGCAACAACCAGAAAACTCTCGTTTGAAATCGGACTCGTGCGTAAAAAAAAGCACAAGTTATGAGAAAATAAAACGCAGAAACAGTTGTTAAAAGATGCAACTCTCCAAACGACAACTAGAACACCAACTAAAAGTAAAGTCCTTTGATGAAGAATGATATTTTAGATCTAATCAAAGTTATTTGTAGGAGTTCCCAGTAAAACCAGAGCAATGAAACATCTGGATTCCAGCAGAACTGATAAAACTGTCAGAACCCTGGACGCTTGTTTTTTTCCTCCCATGAACCCTCTGAGCAGACCCACCGAAGCAACCACGTGGCAGAGCAGGAGATCCGGGTCATGCAGGAGAAAGTGGAGGCTTACCTTCAGGAGCAGGACCAGGTGTGGAGGTCGGGGGTCACGGACCTGAGGGGGTGCAGTTTGGGCCGGACGGAGGGAAATGTTGGGCTGTTTGGGAGCCCAGCTGGGAGCAGAGAGTGTCTCGGGGAAAAAAGGGGAGCGAACGTGGGAGCAGGCAGGCAAGAGGGAGGTGCTGCTGGAAATAACAGTTTCAGGTTTCTCCTGATGTCACGTTCAGAGACACTCCTCTTCCTTCCTAAAGAAGAATAACAGAGCGAGATGACAGTGATGGATTGTTGCGATGAACCCACAGGCCCCGTGGTGCACTCAAACACACCAGGCCTTCTGAATTGTTTCCACGTTGGGCTCTGTCTGGACACTGGAAACACGGTGAGGGGGTCGTGGATGTGCACGGGTCTGACTGCTGGAGGGCACATCTGCACCCACAGCCAACTGGAAAAAGCACAGCGTGCTCTATCTGTGTGGAAAAGTTCCACAGAGAGGGGATATGTAAACCAGCGGGTCTGATCGGAGTGTTAAGGTGCGCAGATGGTTCGGCGTTCACACATTCCCACAGCTACTGCTGCGTTTTCAGAAACCAGCTCTAAATCTGCTGCAGAGAGCAGGAGGTTCAGACTTTACCCACAACCGCAGGAGACCGAGGGGTTAACCAGAACGTCTCACCTACCAATCTAATTTTGAGCTTTAAATACACAACACTCCTCTAACTGAGGCCGCGGTCCTCGGTCTGAACAGGGTGGACTGTCCTCTCCAGGCTGGGGGAGGTGCTGCTTCAAGTGGAGGAGTTCATGTGTCTCTGGGTTTTGTTCTCAGTGAGGGAAGAATGGAGCGTGAGATCAACAGACGGATTGGTGCAGCTTCTGTAGTATTGTGGACTCTGTGCCGGTCTGTTGTAGTGAAAAGGGAGCTGAGCTGTTAGGAGAAGCTCTCCGTTTACTGGTTGGTCTACGCTCCTACCCTCACCTGTGGTCAGGAACTCTGGGTAGAATGAGATCCTGGATCCAGGAGGTCTGAAAGAGTTTCCTCCGCAGGGTAGCTGGACTCTCCCTTAGGGTGGGAAGTTCAGTTCTCCAGGAGAGACTGCCGCTGCTCCTCAACATCGAGAGGAGCCAACGGAGGTGGTTCAGACATCTGGTGAGGATGGACCCTGGACACATCCCTAGGGAGGTGCTCCTGGCATGTCCAAGTAGGAAGAGACCCCAGAGAAGACCCAGGACACGCTGGAGACACTAACTCTCTTACAGTCTTGGAACTTCTTGGAGTCCTCCGGAGAGCTGGAAGAGGTAGATGTCTGGACCTCCATGATTAAGCTGCTGCCCCTGAGACCTGAGTCCAGAACCAGATGATGGATGGATGATTAGCTATCATGACTAAGTGATTCTTCTTCTTCTTTCGGCTGCTCCTTCTTCAGGGGTCACCACAGCGAACTAACTCGCACTGGACGTCCTTCCTGACTCCACCACAGACACTGAGCTACCACAGCGCTCTGCGTGGAGCAGAGAGCTGCAATAGAGTGCCCGGGGGAGCAGATGGTGGGGGTTAAGGGCCATGCTCAACAGCCCAGAGTGGGGTCAGATGAGGGTGGAGGCAGGTGTGGGTGTTTCACCTTTCCCACCCACAATGCAATGTTGTTGGTGCAGGGAGTTGAACCAGCGACCTACTACTGAGGTGCTTTATTTTGACTAGTAGGACTTCTGTTTCAACTAGTTGGACAAAAGTTAAATGGTGGCAACAATCTGCTACTAGTAAGAGTTTGTTCAACTGCAAACTGCAGGAACATGCCAGCTGATATGAAGGACACTAAATAAATACATAAAATGCTTGCCATACTACAGATAACCTGTCTGTGAGCTCTTTAAGTAATTTCATCCTTCTCTCTGAGTGAGACGCTGATCCACGGCTCGTTCAGTTGAACCCACTCTGTTCTCGGCTGTTTTCTTTGATTTCCCACCGCTGGTCGGCTCCTTTTTCCACCCACTGTCTTCTTGGAAAGACATTTGCGGGGAGGTTCTTGAATCTACACTTCTGTGTGACTTTTCCATGGCAGAGTTTTCCTTGGCAGCGCCACGAGCTGCAGAGAAACAAGGAGCTGAAGGAGGAGCTGAAGGAGGAGCTGAAGGAGGAGCACCCTCTGTTGGTGAAAACAAGAGCAATCCCCCAGGAGGTTCTGCAGTTTGTTGAACCGGTTTTAAAAAAGAGCAAAGCCACAGACAGAACTGTTAAAGCTTGGGTCCACTTCTGGTTTATAGTTTTATGTTTTCCTTCCAGTGATCACATTTTTCTGTGATCCATTAACTTGGTCTGGATCAACAGTTCTCCAGACTTAGGTTAATCAATCGGTGTACGTCTACAACTGATTACCTTGTGGGGTCAGTCCGATTCAAGATGGCTGCCACAGCTGTCTGTCTACAGAAAACACAAAATGACTAACTTCATATAATTTGGTGTGGTAGTAGCTGAGAGTCCTCCTCAGCACGTACGTCTCCGTTCTTTGTCACATCACAGACCAAGTCCATACGAGACAAGTTTCCCTCGGGCTGATAGAAGAAGAGTTCCCCGTCTCGCCTCCATCCCTGTTTTTGTTTGATGTATTTCAGTTTGTTGATCTCGTATCTTCACTCGAGGTTCAGACCTGTCAATTCTTTTAAAGCAAGAAACGATGATTAAAATGTGCAGAACAGCCGCATGTGGTGGCCTGGTTCAAGTTTTGTTTATTTGTCATGTGCAAAACCAACACGAGGTCAACAAGGCAATGAAATGCTGAGGACGAGAAGAACCGTCTCGCCCAAAACAACAACAACAACAACAACAACAACAACAACAAATCCCAAGGCATGCAGCAAAAACATTAAAAACAAGGTGCCAACGTTGAAACAGAAATGCATCTACAACGGGGTTCGGTGAGCAGTGAGGTTCTTTCAACATAGTGGTTCTGTTGGGGCGGCGTGGTCTTGGTAGCAGGTCCAGTCAGCAGCTTGATGGTGATAAGGACCACAGCAGCTGCCCTCACAGGCTGCGGTCCAGAACCAGCTCCAGCAGACAGAGAACATCCAGGTTCCCCCACGGAGCCGAACGGGTCGGTCCGTGCAGGTAGATGGAGGATCATGGAGACGGCCGCCATGACAGGTCTGAGCCTGAGGCTGGAGGGGGCCGGGAACTGAACCACGATGGCAGGACGGCAAGGCAGCGACACACAAAACTCCACAAGTGTGTCGCGGTCAAACCCGTAGCGTGCGTGTGCGGCGTAGGCGCAAAAAGAGTTCAAACAAAAACAACAGAACAAAAAGAGATGGAGTCGAAGCGGAGCTCCCGTCAGTGCGGCCATGCTGCGGTGGGTGCTCGCCTCGTGTTCCTACAGCAGCTCTCCGTGGTTCCCTCCTCCCAGACGGAAACTTTAATTCTTTTCTGTTTGGATGTTTCTTCTTGTTGCGCGTGCGATCATTCACAACAACGTCTCGTTGTTTGAACTCTCCCTCAAACTAATGGGTCGGCCTTCGTGTACGTGACCTTCAAGAACCCACGAGTCGGTACTGGTCCACGGTCCAATGGTTGGTGGTCCCTGCTCTGACATTTGATAGTTTTCAAGATTTGACCTCAACGTTTTTCTTCTCCTTCTTCAGGGGTCACCACAGTGAAGTAACTAGATTTTACTCCAGATGTTCTTCCTGACACAACCACCGAGCTCCCACAGCCCTCTGTGTGGAGCAGAGGGTGGGGTTAACGGCCTTGCTCAAGGGCCCAGAGTGGAGCAAATGAGGGTGGAGGCTTCACCTTTTCCACCCACATTTTGATGCTGTCAGTACAGGGAGTTGAACCGACAACCTTCCGATCACGGGCCCACCTTCTCCAGCCTCTGCACCACCGCTCTCCCAAAGGTTAATGTGTTGACAGTATGCTCAGTGTGACGTCATCGTTAGCTGTTTTTATTTTCTAGTTTTCTTTTCGCTTATAATTCATTTATATTTTTTTATATTTTTATGTTTTCAGAAAACACAAATAGTTAAAATGAACATAAATAAAAGTAAAACTCCAAACGATTCTACAGGAGAAAAACATCTGTTTCACATCCAGAGAAATCTGGTTATAAACAGTTTAACGACCATCAATAAATCCAGCCGTTTAATCTTAATTCCTTCAGAATTAATACAAATAAAAACAGCTGACTTGTTGATTAAAAGAACGTTTTAAAGCGTGGAGGAGGAAAATAAAAACATCTCGTAACTGAATTTATTCAGAGAGCGTGAGGAACTTTGAATTATCTCCTAAGTGTTTCAGCTGCTCTAAGAGCTCTTGAAGTTATAATCCCGGTGGGATTATCATCTGATTAAGCAGCTATTAGCTCTCTGATGAACACGTGTTCGTCGTGCTGGGGGTCGCTCTCCACCAATCAGAGCGCAGATCCTCTGAGGCGCGTGAAGATCCACTTAGGGATGACGTCACTAAGCCTCTTACCTCTTCAGGTGAATGAAGACTGGAGGGGGGGACTTGTTTACTCGGACTTCGGACTAAACGCTGGTTCCTGTTTTTGTTGGCGGGAGATCAAATTAACGGCGCGGATTAATCTGAGTTTTAATAATCCTGAAGTCTGGATCCTCTGAGGCCACATGGAGTGCAGCGGCAAGGTAACTGCTGCCCGATCAATACCTGATCTGATAGGAATTAGACCTCCTCACCCCATCCCCCCCCACCTTCTCACCCCCACAGACCTAATGACCCCCTCCTCTCAGCTTTGACCCAATATCAGGCAGCAGCTGTGTTCCTGACACGAATCAGCAGCTTTCAGTCGTCGTTTGAGCTGACACGACAAACAGGAAACAACTTGGAAACGTCTGATTGAACTCTGTCGGTCTGTGCAGGAATGCTTGTCGCCCGCCGCCTTTCACACCTGATCTTTAAGCTCAGGCTGTCGTAAACAAAGCGGAGCGACGGATAAAAACACATTCAGCTTTAACCCGCCTGAACGTAAGGAACTGGATTTACTGAAGAGTTTTAACCAAATAAACACGTCATCAAATATAAAGTCTTGATTTTAAAAACAGGTTCAAACAGAACAGCTGGGGGTGATGAAGACTTCTGCTCGCCTTGAGGAAGACACGTCGATAAAGAACAGATCGAGCAGCAGCTGCGATGGTTACAGTTTACCAAAGCTGTTTACGATAACATCCATCCATCCATCCATCCATCCATCCATCCATCCAT